TTTGTCAATCCTGATTTTTCTAAATGGATTTTCTTGCAATAATGTTATCAGTTTCCTATGAAAGTTCAATTCAGGTTGAGCGAGGGGGAGGGGGGGGGGGGGGGGGGGAATTACACGTACGTGAGCGTTTTGTTTCAAATTTAAATACTCTTCTCATCTTAAATCGACATGTATTTCGACCAATCTGAGTGCTCGAAATAACACCGTTATTTTGAAATATTACATTTAAATGAAATGATAAGGGTTTTGGCTATCAACTAGTATCGTAAAATAATGATAATGGCAGTCAAAATAATAATTCTAGGTAAATTCTAGTGTATCTAGAATATTATATCATTTAAGAAAATTGAAGATTTTACAAGAATTTTGTGGTTTCCCAGCGAAGCGTCTTCCGGAACGGAACATCGATAATTATAATTTTCAGAATATTCATGTAGCATCTGAAAATGATAATGAAATGCGATTCCAAGTTTCCAATTTAAAGAAAAAGTGGCTTCAAGTGGCTTCACTCTAATATTTTTTTACAACATTAAATATTTGATCCACATTAAGATTTAAAAAGTGTAACGTTAATTGGTATCTCAAAATCATATATAAATAGTTTTATCAGTCGATCTTTAGCTTGATAACAGAATAATGGATACGCTTAAGCCCTTCGTTCAACGAACTTTCAGAAAATTTCGAGGTGTAATTCAATTGCACAATTAAAAGAAAATCCAGGGATTAGATTTATTCCGGACATGCATGCGCAGTCCCTTTTTCTGTCGTCTGGTTTTAAAGCTCGGGATTTAAAAACAGAGCAGACATTCAGTATGCAGATATATTGGTGATCAAAAACGCTGATTTCAGCTCTAGTAGTCAGAACTTTACTACTGGATTTCACTGCAGAGAAAGGTGTTCAATACTAACTAGAACTAACCCAAAAATGGATAGACTAGAGTCACTAACACAAGAAACCAAAAAGAATCCAAAAACCAAATCATCTACTTTATCTGTCATCAAAGAATTCTGTGACTACACTTCGATTCATGGCCTTGGTCGAACAGCAGGCGCCAAACATCTTCTTCAGAGATTTGTTTGGTTGTTGCTTTTCTTGGGTGCACTGGGAATGGCTGTCTATCAGCTTAGAGAGCTTTACTTGAAGTACGAGAGCCGTCCGGTCAGTACCATTATGAAACTAACAAACAAAGCGGTAAGTGAAGACACTCCTCTGCTAATTTTTGTCTTTCAGGGAAGTTGGAACGGGTTGGGATCATAATGTAGGCTAAAAGATCTGCTCGTCATCAAAGTGCTAAAAATTGAGTAATAAACCTTTTCTTTTTCTTCTTTGATTGCAATGTTTCCCATTTCAAACAACTTTCAAAAAGTTTGCTCTCTCTCTCTCTCTCTTACCTTTTCTTTTTTTTAATAATTAGCGACCAAAGTTTGTGAAGTAGGTGTCTGGAATAAGCAAAAGAACCGTTTACAAATAAAGTAACAGTCATCGCTGTCATCGCATCGACAGAGTAACTTGCGTTTCATAAAGGAAACGTTTCATCTTAGATAATGGTTTCACGGCAATACACATGGTGGGAATGCGAAGGAAGACTGTTATCTTTTCATTTCTTGTAAGAAATTTAAAAAATCTTTGCCCAAGGAACCAATTGTCTGTTTAGTCTTATGCAAGGCTTACGTGAAATCCTTTCTCCTTACTCCTTCCAGTTATGACATTTTTTTACATTTTGGAACATATGTGTCCAATTTATGCCGAGCGAAACTAGTCACCTTGGATCCTATGAATAAATAGTAATGTGAATTTAATTGCAAATATTAACTATTTTTTTCATTCATACCCAGCTGCTGTCTTCCCGTGATAAACTGATTGTAATCACAAAGAGCTTCTTAAGTGCATGTTAGCTATTGTAGCGTTTCATGCAAAAAATATATGAGCGCCCACTATAATCGCTCGGGGTTTTTTTCGTTGTCTTTTTTGTTGTTTCTTTTTGTTTGTTTTTCTTTTTTTCTTTTCTTTTCTTTTCTTTTATCTTTTATTAATTTTTTTCTTTTGGCCGAATTTTGATGTGTCCTGCAGGATATTTTCTCCAATAATTAAAAGCGGCTTTTGGTTCTATTTTGTTCATAGAATCTTCGATTTCCAGAGGTTACATTCTGTAATATCAATCCACTCCATGCTGCTCTATTCAAAAAAATAAGTCCTGAATTGTACAGAGAAATAATGTCGACAAAAGGTATGTAAATATTCAATTGCCCATCCTTCCTTCCTTCCTTCCTTCCTTCCTTCCTTCCTTCCTTCATCTATCTCTGTCTTTTTTCTCTCTGTCTTTCTTCCTTTTTTTCTTTCTCTCTTTCTTCTTTCTTTCATTCTTTCTTTTTAAAAAAATTAGTTGGTCTGTCTAACTGAGTGTGTCTGCCTTTACTGCATGAGTGTGCGTGAGCGTTCATTCCTTCGTCGTTCCTTCCTTCGTTAGCATTCATGTATTTTCTTCTATTTTATTGCAACTACAGGTGAAGATATAATCGATGATGAACTAAATATGTCGTGGTCATCACTTAGTGGTGACGAGGACGACGAGAACAACCAAACCTCTCCTGACACAACTTTAACTCCACCACCAACAACAAGTTCTCATCTCAACACAAGCATTGACTCATACGAAGACCATGAGAAAGACGATTTCGAAGATCAGCCATTATCAAGAAAGAGAAGAAGTCAGGGTGAACATAACGAACAGGGAAAGTTAGGGGAAGGTAATAACAACGACAGCGACGACAATGAAGATGGTGAGGACAGTAAGAGCGATGACGATAACGAATTCAATGGAGATGATGACTATTATGATGATGATGATGATGATGAGGATGATTTCCCAGTGAATCCTTCAGAACTTCTAGCAAGTCACAAAAGACAACAACTGATGTATCAGTTTGTCTCGGAAATTGACGATGAATTAGGATATAAGATAGGGCACCAGTTCCACGATTCTGTTCTTGCTTGTTCCTTCAGAGGAATGGACTGCAAGTGAGCAAATCACTCTTCCTTGCCTTGCATTTTCTTCTCTTCTTTTTCCCTTCTCTTCTCCATTTCTCTTGTCCTGTTCTACCCTCTCCTCCCCCGTCTCTTCTCTTCCCTCCAACTCTATCTTCCTCTCTTATCTAGCTTTTTTCCTCTTCATGCACTCATAATGAAATCCTTGTAATAATGCGCTGTTGATTTTGCTTCAGGAAAAAGATGACCCAGTATTGGGCAAAGTTTTGGCATCATAAATATGACATTTGTTATACTTTTAATGCAAAAGCCAAATCCTTCAAGCCCTTAAAATCTAACAAAGCAGGATCATCTCACGGTAGGTATATTGATGGATGGATGGATAGATGGATGGACGGATTGATGGACGGACGAACGGACGGACGGACGGACGGACGGACGGACGGA